CGGCGGCTGGCTGCGCGGAGGCGGCCCGGCTTCGGCCTCGTCCCGCGGGGGAGGCTGTGGGGCCGCGACTCCCTTGGGCTTGCAGCTCCCGAAACGGTGCCTGCTCCCCCCGCCCCTGGTCCCGTCCAGGGTAATGCTGTAACCTGCTGGCTGCAAACGTTGGCCCTTGGGATTAACCGTAATCAGTTGTGTGTTTCCCCGTATTCGCTGCTACAGGGAAAAACCTTACCGGTTTTAGCGATCTTGGGAAGTTCTCTATTGCTGTGTAATTATTAATGCCAACCGCAAGCCCGCTGCATCTCTCCTCTGCCAGCACGGGCTGTGTGATTTTTCATTTCCTATTACTTGCATGGAAATGTTGAGCGTGTCAGGAGTGCAGGACTTCAGAGGGGAAAGCGGTACCCCCGGCCTCAGACACAGGCGGCAGCGAGTTCGCGCCGGCCCTCGGGTCGCCTCGCTGCGCGCGCCGAAAGGGGCTCGCCGACGCTGCAGTCCTCCTTGCTCCTGCCGAAAGAGCTGCTGTTAGTAACGTATTACCAGCGCTGGAGCTCTGGATCGTTCGATGCGGCTTTCCTTTACCCCTGCAAGAGCACCGATCGCTGCGTGGTTTCTATAGCTTTCCGCTCTCTTCTTCTGCTGCCCAGTATCTCCCTCGAGGTGGCCTCGTGTTAATGACAAAATGAACGGCTGCCTCCATCTCGCGTGCCAATAACTAACAACTTCTATTGTTTGTTATGTCTTTAAAGCATGGTACGGGCATGAAATGGGCTAAGTATGCTCACTGAGCTGAGATAATGGAATAGCCGTTTACTGTCAAGGAAGTGTTAGATTCCCCTGTCTCCTGTATGATGAGCAAAGAGATTTAGGGGCAATTTCTCAGCTCAGCCTCCTCGGCTAGTTTGCCGGTTTCTGCATGCTCCGGTTTATAACGCCCAAACTAAGGACGCCAATGGCCAGCTTATGGGCGCAAGGACATAGTCAACAGTTGCCTTGAGAGCTACAGACGATGAGAGAGAATTAACACTTCAGTGTTTGGCAACACAGGATCTGCATATATAAAATAAATGTTTCCATCTACATTAAATGCGCTGCTACGAAGGACTGTGAAAATCCTGGCTATGGACGCCCAGTCCAGCTTTGCAATAGGCAGCGGTTTCTAGTAACCAGCGGGATCAAGCACGTCCTCCTTGAGGCAGCTTGGCCTGCCACAAACCCTTCACAAGTCCCCTTTTGCAGGTTTTAGTTACTCAGTTATTCTACCTTTGCTAGCGATGAAGTTGGGAATGGTAACAATATTACCCGAGGTGGACAACAGAGGGGTTTATGTCCTTTCCTGGTAGAGCGGTCTGGATGCAAAGTCGATGCTGGAAATGGAGTAACTGTTCTTAGCTCAGGAAGAACATGTTTCTTGCTGATAGAGATGAAGCCGCAGCCCAGATTCAAAGAGAAAAGGAGGATCAGTGGCCTAGTCTCACTGCTGGACTGTGTGGAATAGGGTAATAATGTGAAGTTAAAAAGCACCCATATGCCCCTATAGAGAGGGGATTTGTTTGCCTTAATGTTCATCAATTCTGATTTTAAAAAATAATAATTTTGCTCTATAAAATCTTTTATAGTTACTTAGTGCAATCCAGAAGGAAACCTCAGCTGCTAAGAAGACATTATTCTCAGAGTCACATAGACCACATATGAAAACCATATTTCAGAGCAAACACTTATCTGTCTGCGTTTTAACAGAACTGAAATTAACCACTTTAAGACAGCGTAGCAGTTTGTTTTTAACGAGCCAGCATTAGCTATTCACAGGTGAAATATGTTTTCCTAAGCAGACTGAGGTTCAGCCTCTTCAGAGATCTATAATTTAAAGAGAGGCTACGGCTTGTCTCTGATCAAAAGCCAGCAAGCCCGACTCCTTAGAGGCACTGTAATTTATAAGTAATTATAAAGAGTAAATGAAAAGAATTGGAATTTCCTCCTCACTGGAACAAAATTCATTTTGATGTTATAACTACAGTTATAAGAAGTTTTCAAAATCATCGTGGGATTTATAGAAGCGTGAGATGTTATTCATTCTTGTAACTAATGAAAAATAAAGAGAGTTCAGAACCAAAATAAATGGCAATTTTCAGCGCTTAGGGAACACAAATGGAGCTACGTTATATACAGAGTAAAATTTGTCTTTGTGAAATGGACGGGACTTATTAAGTCTGATGAATGAAGGTGTATACATGAATTCGAGAGAAAAATGCCTTTGCCCAGGGAAGTTTATGCTCCTTAGCATGAGAACCAGAGCCTGACGGATTGCCATCAGCTTCAAAGCGCCTGGACGAGATGCAGAAGGCACACGGAGCCAGCGTGAACAGGGCACTCCGGGCAAGTCTAGTTTCTCATCCTGAGCCTGACACCAAGTTAGCATGCTTTTCTGACAGGCCAGGTCGTTTCTAAAGGTCTTCTTTTCCTCTCCTATTGTTGGTCAACCTGACTTCAAACACTGTCTTTAAATACAGCGTACAGACAAAAAACGTTCCCAATTTCAGCCAGAAATTGTAGGTGCAATACACACAAACAACAAGATTTACAGAACCTGAGCCAGCAAACTACTTCCAAATTTTTCAGAGCCCTTTTGAAAACGTGCCCCTGAGAGCTGCTCCCTTGGACACAGCACAAGCGATGCCCCTGCCAGCTTTCAGAGCTGAACCATGAGGTGTCACAGATAACCTAAAGAGGTATGGCCCTGAAGGACTGTACCCATTCACTCTCTCAATAGACCAGTCATGTGGCAGGGGACAAACATTCACCAGGAGCTCCTACATAGGCAATTTTTCGAAATGAATCAGTATGTCACTGGAAGGAAGAAGTATACAGAACATATTACACAGTATTTTTTCATGCCCTTCTTATCCTAAAAGGGCTGTAATTATTCCATATTGCAGGAGCTGTACAGTAGTAATCCCTCTCCTCCTACAAGCTTCATTTACAACTTGAGAGCCAACAGCCTATTAAGCTTCTAATAAGTTATACTAAAATATTGTGGCACTGTTCTAAAAATAAAACCTGGGGATGAGTTGTTAATGATACCTTCCTTACTTGCATAAAACTATCCCCTAAACACACATTTTTTTTACAAAAATGTCTTGGCTTATAAACATTTATGGCCATAAATACTTCCCAGAAAAGCACTGGCAGGGAATTTGTAGTATTAAAGTCACTTTTTTAAGCAGAAAGCTTTTCCTTGTTCACTATTAATCTCTTTGCCTTTCATCTCAAATTTAATTCATCTCCAAGTCTTCAAAAGTCATGAAATTATTCATGTTCTAAGAAGCATAAGGTAGCATGAAAGAAGGAAAGACTTTGAGAAGATAGGCTAAAAGGAACAATAAAAATACCAGGAAAATAAGAAAAATATTGGACCTTCAGCCATTTAGGGTCACAGCGTTGGACTAAGCCATTTTAGAAAGTTTTAAAAATAATGCTACTCATTTTGCATTCACCAGACTAATTTTGATGGGGATCTCCGTAATGCTGTGATAGCAGCAGGCAATGGAATATTCTGTTAGTACATCTTCTGCATTTGTGCTTATGTTTAACATTAGGTTCTCCAAATCCATGATTACAATATCCAGTTACAGTAGTCTGCTTTTCAGATGTTTGAACATTCGCTCACCTCATTGACAGTCATAGAATCTATAAACGCCTTGCAGCTCTAAGACTGAGCAACCTTTATTTAAATCTCTATACGTGGTCCTAGAAGTCTAACGTTAAGCCTACAAACTTCTAAAACCTATTTGGGGGTCCTCCATTATTCCATCCCCTTTTTGTCTCACGTAGTCACCTAATATCACACCACAACTTGTAAAGAAGAGAAAGGGAAGGACAGAAGAGTCAAACAACGATCACACATGAATGCCAAAGTCATTCAACAAACATGGGACACGCTTAAATGTTGAATGGCTTGAGGAAGGTATTCATAGATTTGGTTTTGATGCACAATAATCAAGACAAGGGGTCTCCAAAAGGTAGCTGGTAACAGGGGAAAATTATTCTTGTGCCGGTTTCATGAACGTACCAGAAGTTTCATAAAAATACCTGCTTTCTAAGCATTTGTTCCAGCAACTTATAGCTCAAAGATGGAAAAGAAGCCACATATTAAAAATATAAGATTTTAAACAAAAGAAAAAATTACCAAAGCTTTAAAAGTCCTCAGAGAGGGAAAAAAAAAAAAACCACTTAAGCCTTACAGAAGAATTCAAAGCACTTTTAAAGGGCTATTCTTTGCGTAATGCTGTCAGCTGTTTAGGTATTCTGCTGAACAGCACAGAATGCATTACTGAACAGAGTACAGTAGAATACATAAACCTTTTGATGCTTGTCACAATTATTTTAGTTCATTCCTCTAAATATTACATACCAGGCTTCAAAATATGGATGTTTTTCATATATATGTGCTAAAGAGACAATTCAAAACCAGAGGAGTTGAGGATATATGTACCTCACCCCTATCTTACTGAAACACATTTCAGAGGATGTTTATTGGTGACTGAAAGTAAAAATAGGGGGAATTTTGTTCAGTTCTGCCATCAATGAAGTTTACATGGAGAAAAGCATTTTTCATATCATGCCAGCAATGAAATCTAGTTTAAAGAAGCCCTGAGCCAGAAAGAACTGCTACGACCGAGCAGTCACTCGGGGCAGGCGCTACCTGCATGAGGGGACCCCACACCACACCAAAGAAGTGGAGGACTCAGTTATCCTCTTACCACGCACCTGTCAGGGTCAGAAGTAACAGCAGTGGCACAGCAGGGAAGAAGCTCAGGCACTCTGGGCACCCAGTTGACTTGAGAAGACCTCCCCTCCTGGAAGGACGTTAACAAACCACACATCTTCACATCTCCCATAAACTCCAGCTTTTCGTTGCTGCTGCCTTTTCTTCCCTCTTAGGTGTTTCCCTGGTTTACTTTTGTTTCGTTGATAGAAACATTCCTTGATCACCTTCATGTTGGAGTTTCATAGGTGCTTCCCAGCAGTCAAAGATTCGTGGTGGTGACCTGGTAAAGCGCTTAGCCCTGGGAACTGTTTATGGGTGTCTTTACAGAGCTACTCCTTCACCTTGCTAAGCCCCAGTTCCCCTAGTTCTTGAGCATTTGTGTATTTGTGCCATACACTGTCAGGACAGCTCTAAGCAAGCAAGTTTCCTCTGTGTTAAGCGTGAGCAACTGTTTTGATTAAAAAGATTTGCCTACCCCAAAATAAT